TCCAAATACTATTAATTTTATAAAATGCCACATCAGCAACAAAGATGGAGGGAAATAATCATAATGATTAAATACATTTTGCCTAGTCTTAAAGGCTAGCTACATGTAGCTAGTGAATGTGAGTTGAACTAAAATGCCTAATCATCTGCCTAGTGCATTAGAGTTAAAAAAAGTGAGTCACATTAGGTATTTTGACTAACAAGCATTATATGCCAAGTGGGTTGGAGATGCTCACTCCACATTTTACATCATAGGTATCTTTAAGGTATGTTTTTTTTTTTTTTATAATTTTATTTATAACTAATTTTTTTTAATTATAATTTTATTTTAATTATGACTCATGAAATTTTTTATTATATATCATATATTGTTTAGTTATGAATTTTTTTTTTAATTATGACTTAAAAAATATGAAATTATGTCATTTTATTCTTTAATTATAAGATGTATATAGTTTATATTTTTTGAGAGGTATGTACGATATAACAATTGAAAAATATATATTCAAATATTTTTTAAAATTAAAAAAATACATGAAAAATATACATTAAAATTTTAATTCTTTTTAACGTTATTTGATTCTTGATGAATATTTCATAATCCCAGGTGCATGTTCGAAGTTATTACAATCAAAGTAACAAATGTTCCTACCAAATCAATTAACAATACAATAATAAAAAAATTACAAATTAATGAAAATAAAAAATACTTACAAATTTATTAAAATACAAGGTAATACGAATTATGTTGCAAATGACAACCGCCTCTTTTGGCAATTAGGTTAAAAATCAATTTATTAGCTTTTTAGTTTTTTTGGGTTATATCACTTTTGTACTTTTTTTTTTTTTACATTTTTTCAAAAAATAAAAAATTGACTTATAATCTATTTTCTAAAATAGGCCAATTTTCACTTAGATTGGACGATCAATGACTTATTCATAAATTTAAAATTATTTTTCACATTGTGAATCGATTATTGTTTTTTATTATGAGAATATTGCACTGAAATAATTGCCTCCCATGTGATTTTTCATGTATCTTGACGAGTCACATTATTTTTTAAATATGGTGAAAATTATTTTCTATGTGAATGTCCGTTTTGATCCAACATTTAATTTTTTTAAATAAAATTTTAATCCATTTATAAGTTTCAATTTTAAAAAAAAAGTTGGGGTTGTTTGGGCTCATAAGGCTCACTACGGATGTGTTTTGATGATCTTAACTGTTTATTTTGTAAGGTCTTCTATATATATTATTTATGAAAAAAATTAAATCGATTCGATAATTATATCATTTGTATTTTATCATATTTATCTTTTCATGGGATTTGATCAAAACCCTCTCATAATAAAATTTTAATGCATTAAGGACAAGCACAAAAAGTTTTCCTTGAAAAGTCCAACAAATATCACTATTATCAAAATATTAAATTTTAAAATAATATAATTTTTGATGTAAACATCGATTTTTAATAAAATTAATATTTTTAGAATTTTCTTATCATGATCTATCAAATAAGATCTATATTGACTATGAAATTCTTTTTTAAAAAAAAATTATTACTGTTGAAATTGATGTAAATCGTAACAATAACATGTTACTCTGTTTAACAGTAACATGTTACTCTATTTGACAATTATTCAATTTGACAGTAACACTCTAGCAATTTGTCCAAGAAAGAAAGAAAAAAATATATTTTATTTATCTTTACTCAATTATGTATTTTCTCCTTAGTGAGTTTATAAAAAATAAATAAATTGGAATGCCTTTTTCACCAAATAAAGGTCTAATGGAGGGGTTTCGGCTAAATTTCTCTTTTGAAAATAGATATATATATTTTTTTTGTTGGAGACAAACGAAATAAAATAAAAAACTACAATTATTAAATTAAATTAAATTTTTTTCATGACTAATAGACAAAGAGATTTACAAAATAAATGATTCGAATAATTGAATCGGGAGAGACTCAATTCTAAAAGGAAAAAAAATAAACACCATTAATTTAGAAAAAAAATTATAAGCACCAAAAGGGATGACAAAACTGCATAATATCATATGAGCGATTAGTTTTATTATTTATTATTTTTTAATGAGAGTTGTATTAATTTAATAGAAATATTAAGAAATTAGGCAAATCCATCTCTCAAGCAAGCAAGACAAGGATGAACAAATCTCCATGTCCAAATTCCAAATTTATGCCCCTCTCTCTCTCTCTCTCCCCACTGCACACTAAAATTCAATACATTTTTTATATTTTGTGTATTTATTAATTTTTTAAAATATTTTTTCACAAATATTTTACTTTTTAGATATAGACACATCTAAGTAAGATGCATCTAAAAAAGTAAAAAAAATGCTTAAAATTTTAAAAATATTTACTAAAAATAAAAAAATACGAAAAACAAAAAACTCAATTTTCAAAATATTGATTACATATTTAATGTAATTCTAAAGTAATTGTTTTTAACAATTAGACATCGAATTAAATGTATTTTTATTTATTTATTTTTCTTCAAATTTGTCATGTAGCAAAATATTTTTACGAGCATTAAGACCCTTTTTTTTTTCCTGTCAAAACTTAACTAATTTTAGATTTTGGTTCATCATATTTGATTTCTTTCCCTCGTAACGAAATATTTACGCTGTATTTAGTTTATAAATTTGGGTAAGAATTTGAAAAGAGAGAGAAAAAAGAAAAAGTATACCTTTTCTTTTTGTCTTTTCAATTTTTTTTTCAAATTCATGAATTAAATACCGCCTCGGGAAAATATATTAGAACCAACTTTTAGGACGGCTTTGAATCACTAAATTTAACTTTTTAAGATGAAAGTATGTCATGTTTTACAACATACATTCCCAAACGTAACTTGCTAGGGATTAGTGATTTCTAGATCTAGTAACACAAGCCTTACTATATCTACCTCTAATTTGTGTGAATTAGTTTTGTCAATTCATTTTGAGTGGATGTATATGTTTTATGAGCTTTTATCGAAGTCCAGTAGCGGAAAATTTTGGATTCTAACATCTTCTAACTTAATGCAGCTGTGGCCATACTTCTGGGTTTTCAGCACTATGTGGTAATGCTTGGGACTACTGTTATCATTCCCTCAAGCATCGTTCCTCAGATGGGTGGTGGCTATGTAATAACTTTGTGACACTTCATTGTACACTAGCATTTTTTCACTTTCTTTTCTCCTCTTGGAGTATTTCCATGGTTTCAATTTAAGGTTCTTCTCTTCTTTTCTTTGTGGCAGCGAGAGAAGGCTGAAGTGATACAAACTTTGCTATTTGTTTCGGGAGTGAACACTTTATTACAGACTTTGTTTGGAACTCGGCTTCCAGTGGTGATAGGGGCTTCGTACACATTTGTTTTTCCTATACTTTCTGTTGTGTTAGCTGATAGGTATAGCGTATATGTCGATCCTCATGATGTGAGTCTAGTCATTCTCATTCCCCTTCTTTTGAGTTCTGATTGTATTTCAATAATTGTTCATTCTTGTCCTTACATTGGGTGTGTGATTAATTTCTTCAGAGGTTTAAAAGTTCTATGCGAGGAATACAAGGAGCTCTCATGATTGCATCCATTCTCCCTATATTAGCTGGTTTTCTGGGTGTCTGGAGAATCTTTGTGAGGTAGGATTTTGCAGAAATGGCGTGGTGAAAGAGCAAATTATTGTTCAATGTTTAATTCACTTTAATGACTACACTTTCAATTGTCTGATAATGCTATAGGTTACTCTCTCCTCTTTCTTCGGTTCCCCTTATTACGCTAGTTGGTCTTGGGCTCTATACGCATGGTTTCCCACAGGTAGGAATTTTTAAGCCTTCATTATATTGTCACAAAATATGGATGGTGGTTATTTAATTCAACAAGTTGTTCTATTTATGTTTTAATGATAGTTTTGTGGTTGTCTCCTAGTCAGCTAGACTGATTTGAGCACTGTAATCACGCTGATGAGACGGGATATTTCATGTAAAACCTTAGAATTGGACCTAACCATCATAGTTGTTGCAATTAGGGAAACCTTGTCTCCTAGAAGTACTATTCATTGCTAGTCCAAAGGAAATCTGATGATCCATTCCTTCGGTTGAGAATAATGAAACTGGTCATGGCTAGATCTTATTGGGAGGAACAGTTGCAGATGTCTCCACAAAAATAGTTGGCCAGCCCAAGGATTGAACTCTTAGTTTCTAACTGATCAAAGATATTTTAGTCTTGTTGCATACAGATAGGGGTGTAGTAGTGAAAGTGTGAACCATGGAAGAGGGTTTTCCATCAATTACGAACCACCTATTTTGTATTGCTGGTTATTCTATTCAACTCGATTTGTAGTAGTTAACATCATGATAGCCGTCTCATTGACCTTAAACTTTCAAGCTGGCCAAAATGATATAGAACCTCAGGTCATCTATTTAATTGAATAGTTAGGCCCAAAAATCCATAAGCAGGAGCCTTTACTGGTTGGGCTGTCAGTGCAAGTTTACTGCAAGTTGGCTTGGAGTATATTATGCCACATGTTGTAATGCCTTGAACTCGATGCTATTTGTTTGCTGCTGTTACTTAAATAACATTTTTTATAATGTATTCTGTTTCATAAAGGCATTCATATGTTTACTCTGTGCTTTTCGTTTTTGCTGATGGTTGTAGCTGGCGCATTGTGTCGAGATTGGGCTTCCAGAGTTGATTGTACTAATTATTTTAGCTGAGGTGAGCTGGTTCTTGATTACTAATTTATTTCATCCGACTACTATTTAATTTCCCGTAGTTTGAGATGCTATGACATATTTACATATATATTTATTTATCTGAATGCTATGTTATGTGTGGATGGTTCTATTTGCTTTCCTACTCGATTGAAATTTGTGTCCAGAAAGCAATGCTGCATGAACAGGGGCCTTGGACCAAGCACACCATGGAAGTTTCTATTTTTACTTTTTCACTTTACAAAGGAAGTTTGATCAATCAATTTTTGGAAGGAAAGTGAAACATATTAACAAAATGCCAATGGACTTGAGGTTAATGATCATTCAGTTTGGTTTATCTTTTGAGTAAAACCCTGAAGAAAGATTGGAATAGTTATAGTCATGGATGGATTTTGTTTCACCAGGAACTATTGAGCTGTATGTAGTATAGATTGGCTTTCAAAATCCGCTCCCGTGCTCAATTCTCGCTGCACTTTTCAGTTTAGTGATTGGAATAAGTTCTCCCATGATTTAACCCATTTTTATAAGGGATCTGATTTGGTTTTTGGTTATAAAATTGCTGATTTATTTTAATTCTTTGTTTCTTAAGATAGACTTCAACGTGAATTTCTTGAGGTTATATTTGATTTGGGTGACCAAAACTTTTGCAGTATATTCCTCATTGGTTTAAAACCAAAGGAGCCATATATGAGCGTTTTTTCGAACGATATGCAGTCCTCTTATCGATAGCAATTATATGGCCATATGCAGCACTTCTGACTGCAGCAGGTGCATATACAAATAGACCCCCAAATACTCAGTCTAGTTGCCGTGTTGACCGCTCTCGGCTCATTGAAGGCGCTTCTTGGTATGATCATTCCTAAACTTGCATTTCACTTAGTCACTCTTTTAATCTTAGGCCTCGTGCATTATTCAGTTTGGTATTTTGCTTCCTAAAACCCAGTTTCACAATATGTTATGGCATGGGTGTATGCTATGAAGTATTTTCAGTTATTCTAGTTGACTTTGCTTGGCTACTAAAAACTTAAAATGCTCATTCAGTTCTATGAATCAGGGATATCTAGGCATGTGTTGATGAATTTCATGTTAAATTGTTTTGCAATGTGGGCACTAGGAATTTAACATTTAGCAAATTCAAGACTTGTGTTTTTCAAAAAATAATAAACTCTGTACTGATCTGTCATTTGCTGCAGTAACCAAATGTGTGAAGGAATAAAATTGAATAATTTCCTTCTTTTTGTGTGTTTTTGTTGTTGTGTGTGGTTTATTAAAAATTTTCATTTGTTGTTAATTTTTCCTCCATGCATCTAAGATTCTCCAAATTGAAAAAAAAAAAAAAAAAAGGGAAACAATTGGAGCAGGAGTGATGGTACCAATACTAATATAGGGTAGAAACGCCATTACAAGGGGCATTGGCTGTGCTGTTCAGTCCGTGTATCTACTTCTATTATGATCAAATAAGATTTGGCTGAAAATTAACTTGTTGGCTAAAGTTATGTTATGAATATGATAATTGCCGAAACTAGCATTAAATCTCGGAAAGTGCTCTCTCTCTCTCTGCCTCTCTGTTCTTCTCCTTCTTCTCTTAGTACTAGAACACCTTAAGTTAGTCTTAAATTTTGAAATTTGAAGCACGCTATTCTTGATTTCTTACTTTCTAAGATATTTAATGGTAATTTACCAATAGGTCCTACTTTTGGGAATAATTACCCATTAATTCCTATTGATAAATTTGTCAAGTGATAAATTTATAAATCTCTCTTGTTTTTATGAATAAATTTAAAGTGATAAATTTATCTGCAAGGACTTGTAGGTAAATAAGTCCAATTAATAGGATTGATTGGTAAGTGTCCCTTTATTTAACTTCTAATATTTTTCTTCATTCTGCATTTGGTCAAGGTTTTACATACATAATTCTAATGTCAAAAGATGAATTATCTGTTTCATATCATGCTCTTGGGGGTATGAACATTATTTAAGCACTGCAAATGCTTTTCCCCTGCCAACTTTGGTTTTATGCTTCACTTGTTATAAGGGCTTCTGTTACTTCTCAACATGCAGGATAAGGTTTCCACATCTATGGCAATGGGGGACTCCCACTGTAAATGCTACGGATGCTTTTATAATGATTGCTGCAGCTATGATTGCTCTTGTTGAGGTTGATTTATTCTAGTGAATTTTTGAAGTCTTTTGATTTTATATATAGCTGGTGTCTTGATTTTTATATTTTTCTGGAAGTAGAATGAGGATGCAAGGTGTTTAATAAATCGTATAGATAAATTTCTTATCTTTGTTGTGTATTTATATAACGGATGAGCTGGATTCTAATGTTAGGACTCCTTAATGAGTTACCCCCATACTATTTCCTCATGTTCTGTCCATGTGATATGATTGTTGTTCCTTTACTTTTGGAGATGAATTTGGGATTCATATTGAACTTATTTCAATAAATTCTATTTTTTTTTATTTCTTTGATTATTGTTATTGTAGTCTACCGGCACATTTAAAGCAGCATCAAGATATGGGAGTGCCACACCTCCACCGCCTTCTGTTCTCAGCCGTGGTGCAGGGTGGCTGGTAACAACGGATCCTTCGATAGATTATTATTTTTTGTTTCTAGATGTCATATGTTCCACAAATCTGACTCACCCCTCCTTTTTTTTGAGTTAGGGAATCGGATTTTTGCTGGATGGTTTGTTTGGTGCTGCAAGTGGTTCCACTGCATCAGTGTGAGAAGTTTAATCTTTGAACTGAGAAGACTGAACATTAATCTTTGAACTGAGAAGACTGAACATTGCTTGCACTGGAGGATACTTAGATGAAGACATCTGTTACTCTAATATCTAGTTTACTCAACTTTTTCATACGCAACGGATTTTCAAAAAATAAAAGACAGGTGGGATACCCATGTGTAGATCATCTGGATTAATTGGTTTGTGAAGTAGAAATTTACTCTGACAAATCTTTAGATGAATCTCACAGCTGGGTCCACTTATGAGTAGATGTCCCGATCCAAGTATCTATTTTGCCTGTCCAAAAATGCTAGACTCACAATGACGTGGCAAAGGAGTTGGGCATTATATGGTTGAGTTTGTGACAAACCAAAAGTTGACATGCCATGTCATTGTGGGTCAAATTAGGGGAGGATTTTTAGTGGTCTTAAACATTTTCCTTTGTCTATTTACCGGATCATATTATATTTTGCAATGTCTTTAGTGAAAATGTAGGTCTTTTGGCACTAACACGAGTTGGAAGCCGAAGAGTGATTCAAATATCAGCAGTATTCATGCTTTTCTTTTCTGTATTAGGTGTGTTTAAATCAATCTTCTAGCATCCTTAATAACCACGAAAAAATTGGGTATTTGTTGGTTGGGCTTATTCGTGTCATTCTTTTGTCCATAACCAGGAAAATTTGGGGCTATTCTAGCTTCTATACCATTGCCAATTTTTGGAGCTATGTACTGCATCTTGTTTGCCTACATGTGTATGTTTCCTTTCTCTTTTTAGGAGATAATACTACTGAAATTTCTTTTTGCTAATTTTTATGTTTGGTCATAACTTAATGCATACCTTTTATGATCTAACAAGGGATTTTGACAAATAAACATTTCTGATTTTCAAAGGAGAACATTTGAATACTTCCAGAAAATAGAAAGAAAATGTTTAAATAATCCAGTGCTACAATCTATTTGTGGAATGAAAATGAAGACTTGGAACCATTGCCAAATGAGTCCTAGTCATCAGGAAACCAAATTTTATTTTCCTCCATTGGTGAAATTATATAGGGTTTTCATGTTTTTTGGCTCAATCCATCAGTAGGCAATCAAAGTTGATCAGTAGAAATATGTTTCAAACAAACACAAATTTACTTGGTTTGACTAATTCAAACAAAACTAACACCACCAGCGGTGGAACCACATGGGAACTAGGCGGGGCACGTGCCCCTTGGATTTTTTATTTTTTATTTTTTTTACATATGCATATAAATAAAATTTTAAACAAAAATAATATCTAGAATAAAATATCAAGGTCATTTTTAAATTTATGAAAACAATAGTGATTGTTTTATTAAAAATGAAGTGACTACAACACATTATATTTTTATGTATGAAAATTTTGTGAAAAAATCTCAATATGAAGATAATATCTATCATTATTGATATGTAAATATAATTAATCTCACTATATATATGTAAAAATTACTAGAGTGTTAGTTATTTTTACATGTGGAGTTCACCCTTCATATGTTGTTTTACTATTGGTTGGTGATATCATATTTCAATAATGATGTGATATCACTATTATATAAAATTTTTACTCAAATTTTGTAAAAAATTGATTTATCTTACCATTATATAATTTATTTTACGACTTAAATATGACTTTTTTACATTGACCATGATACACTAGTTATACGTAATACTTTCTTTTCGATTTTCCTCGAAGTTAATTGTAAAATTTTATGTAAAATACTTTTGTAACAATTTATTTAATTTTTTGTACTTAATATTAATTCAAAAATTATTATTATTTTCTTATTGTTAGTTATGAAAAAAATAAAAATAAATAAATTTGTAATTAATAAGTACTCTTTCTGATTTAATTTCCTGACTCCGCCACTAACCACCATCATAGTTTTTTCCCCCCAATCATGCATTCTGACCAGACAGACATGATAATATACTCGTAGCTTGAACTAGACACTAATAGAATATTCTTATTCCAATCCACACATTAAGATAAAGAGACACAAACATCATATGGCATGTAGGAGAAACAAATGTATTACTTTGAATTGATGTTGCTTCACACCCTCAATCAACTACCAAAATTTTTATCACTGAATAAAGTATGACAAGCATGCTCCTACTGCACTGGGCTTTTCTGAAAGATGAGCTATTTAATTGGCCAAACACAAACTTTCCAGTTGGTCATCATTATGATAATTTGCAATTTCTAGACAACTTCTTTTCACAGAGTGCTTCAAAGATGATGTAGAACAACCAAGATAATCCCTTACAGTCATCTGGATATGACATACGAGGGAAGGCAGATCAAAAAGAAAGAACTGTGTTGCCGGAATTGAGAAAAAATCATTGGGTGCTAAAGATTTAGAATGTTGTAGCTGGAGTCAGAAACTTGATTATTGCACTGAAACTGTCTTGTTGGTACTGATTTCTTGAGTGATAATTGATCATCAATTCTGTTGCTCAGAACAATTGAAAATTGTTATGCAACCTTGTATTGCATTTGACAAGTTTTATGCCTTTTTTAATGTCCTTCTGGCCATTATTAGAATATTTTAGGGCAAATTACATATACCTCCCTCGAGATTTAGCTAAATTACAGATACCTCCCTGAGGTTTCGGAAATTACAGATACCCCCTGAGGTTTATATTTTCATAACAAATTGCCCCATGAGGTTTATATTTTCATAACAATTTGCCTCCTAATTTATTATGCAAATAGTACATTCAGGGGTATCTGTAATTTCTCAAACCTCAAGAGAGTATCTGTAACTTTGCTAAACCTCGAGGGGGTATATGTAATTTGCCCAATTTTTTAATTGCATTTTTTTTTGAAAAAAAATTGTATATGCAAATAATTAATTGTTAATACAAATTTGGAAATTAATATGGTATCCATGGTGGTGCAGCTTCTGCTGGTCTTGGTTTGCTTCAATTCTGCAACCTCAACAGCTTCAGAACAAAATTCATAATTGGTTTTTCAATCTTCATGGGTCTGTCAGTGCCACAGTACTTCAATGAGTACGTGGTAACTTCTGGCCGCGGTCCTGTTCACTCTGGTTCAGCATGGGTATATAGATGAAATTTAGCTTCGTCTGATTAATTGGTTTTTTGTAGTTACTGGGAGAGTTTTATGTTTGGAGAAACTAAATTTGATTTTTTTTTTTTTTTAAACATGATTTTCAGTTGAACAAAACTATGCAAGTGGTTTTCACATCCCCGGCCACAGTGGCAGCTATAATCGCTGTGTTCTTGGACCGCACTGTTGCTCATAAGCATAGCTCAACTCGAGCAGACAGTGGCAGGCACTGGTGGGAGAAGTTCAGGTATTTCGCTACGGATCCCAGGACCAAAGAATTTTATTCGCTACCTGGGGGCCTTACAAAGTACTTCCCATCTATCTAGCATCTGGAGTTCTTTTTGTTGAAAAAAACAGAAGATATTACTAAAATTCATTCTTCCATTGAACTCTCAATACCAGGAAGAAAATCAAGAAATGAAAAGTATATCGACATATACATATAGGAGTGGAGAGAGTGAGAAACCTACTTGATCTTGGATACAAATTCTGTGTATTGACAACCTTTTAAGATACGGTGGTCTAAAATGAGTTCTCAACTTCTGATGATAGTAATTAGGTTTTCTATGTAAACGATGAAGTTCTGGACAAAGTTATATGAATGAATTTAATGCTGTGTATCATTCTATTTGGTGATATTGTTCCAATTTTCTTTTGTAATAGGTTTTATGCTTTCAAATGCTCTAAATCACAAGTGGGGTTTGGTCATTGTAAGTGTGTCCGGATGATGGAATTTGGAATGCTATGTTTAAGTGAATGAAACAGAAGTTAATAACATTACCTGATGGATCTGTGCCCTATTAGTTGAACATTCATAGAGATTAGAATAAAGAGAATATATGAATTGGGTTCTCGCTTAATCGAATTTGAACAAATGAAAAATGATATATATGCTTACTTTTGGCTATGTGCTTGAGCATTGATTGTTCATTGCCCATCATTGATTGCTCAACACGTCATTGATTGCTCAATGATGTGTTTGGGCAACCCAGTTTCACAATATGTGTTTGGGAGCAGTGTTATTGAACCCAGAAATTAATTGATGTGTTGAGCATTGATTGTTCAAAGCTATGTGCACACTTTAGCACTAATCAATCAGTACTAGACACGTCAATTTATTTCAAGTTCAGTATTGGCTTCAATAACACTGCTCCCAAAAACATACAAGGTTGTTTGCATCGATGAGAGTTTCTTTTGTGGTAATTTGATTGATGAGACTGGACTTTTAAGCATTGTAGTTCTACTATGTGTTGGAAGTGCTATCGTAGTAGCATTGCCTATGACAAATCAAGATTTTTTTCATTAAATCACTATGGCAGTGCTACAAATGAATAGAATTATTCATGAATAATTTAACTAATAACTTGTATGTTACTATATTCTTTTTTGAACGCTACGTTTCTATATTCTAACTGAGCTTCTTAGAGTATAAATTACAACTTGATTAATAGAAACTGAGTTTGATCTTAAAAAAAGTTTCACTCAATTATAATATATACATAAATAATAGTCATACATGTATATAATAATTAAGGATTTAGCTTTTCTTAAGTTCTCATTTCAATTTGAGAGAAAGTTTGGGCTTGATAAGTCTATTTTGAAACTGATTTTGGTAATCCAAATCGTTTACTTTTTAGAATTCATTGAGCATAATATTTATGCAAAAAATAAGATAATTGGACATTAGTAACTATATGTTTGAATAATATTGATTTTTAAAAAAAATAGACGACAAATATAATTTTAAGAATAACCATTCATTTTTTGTAATACAAATTTGATTAAAATATACAGTTATCAATGCCCGATAATTTTGATTTTTTGCACGAATATTTCTACTTAACGAGTACTAAAGAGTGAATGATTCAGATCACCAAAATCAGTTCTAAAATGGTGTTGATACCCCATTTTTGACTGACCTTAAGATTTTGGTGTTTGAAGACTTTTCGGTGATGAAATGGTGATTATTTCTTTCTTAGAGATGCTTAAAATTGATATGAGCTGCTGTATTACCTTGTTTTAGCCAAAAATATTTTTTTTTGCAAAAATAACCATTTTGTTCCTGAACTCATTTTTATCCCAAACCTAACTTTTTGATCTCACTTAGAGGTAAGGAGTCTGGATGAATTCAAATTGATGAATTTTTTAAAAATATTGACCAATTTTGTGCAAAAATGTCAATTGAGAGCTAAATAGACCTACTTAGGCAGTAGGAGGGTCCAAAAGACTAAAACCACATATTTATAAAATGCATGCATGGAGGAGTGACTTGGCCGTACGCCGGGCCGCACATGGGTCGCGCAGCTACACAAGTTAAGCGAGTAGGTTGTCCGGCCGCACAACCTATCGACAGTGTAGAGTGAATTTTGGATGTGAATTGATTGGGAGGTGCAAGGAGAAAGCAATGGAGAAATCCTAGGAACCCTATGGTGTTCCATAACCTTCCTCAATGCTTATAAATAAGACCCCTACCCCCTACTTGAGGGACCAAGCTGTTAGATAATTTTAAAGTGTTTTAAGTGAGTTTGGAGTGTCTTCTCTCTACCCCCAACCTCAAAACCAAAAATACATCATACAACTTCAATACAACAGCTCTACAACTAAAAGTAGAGCTAGGGTTTTGATGAAAGTGAATTAAATCAAAAGCCTAAGCCTCAGGGAAGCTTTCAAGCAAGATTTCTCGCCTTTTTGGTTGCTCTTCAGTTTAATAATCAAACCAGCAAGTAAGTTATTCTTTTTATGTATTTTAATTTTAATCGTGTTTTTATTATTAGATCATGGTTAGTGTGTTAGTAATCATGGAGCATTATGTAGGTTAATAGTTTTGCATGTTTTTCGCTTTTGCTTTGCATGTTCTAGTTAGATGTACACTTGTTTCATGTTTAGGTTAGTTTATTCATGATGTGATTATGCATAATACCCAGTCTAATATTCTACATATTTATTTTTATGTGTTAATTGCCTTGTTTGCATTAAATCATGTTAGTAGCCATTAAACTGGATTTAGGTTTGCATCAGTGTGTTTAGTAGCATGTCTAAGATCATTGTATTTTATTTATTCATATCTTGCATGTTGGACACTTTGTGGTGGAATCCGGGTAAATTTCTTGATCTTTATAGCATATTGCTTGTGTATTTGCATTGTTATTTTAAATAATGCAAGTTAAGTTCTTTCTGTGCTCAATTTGTTGTTTTGGATACTTTGTCATGAATATTGCTTAGTTTGGTTGTGTTTATAGCCATATGATTTAAAAACTCTCTTTTTGTTGGAAAATCATGAGTTTATGAAAAAGATATGGCTATATTCATTTATTAATCTAAATTAAGTGGTGTTTATATTATTCAAATTATCTAGTTGATTAGGTTTAGTAGATGATTAGGGTTAATTATCAATTTTGTAGAATAATTAATTATTTTAATCTCATAAGATAAGAAATGAGTAGAGGCCAATCATGTGATTGAGCAAGAAGTCGTTCATCATGTAATGACCTTCCATTCTCGTATCTAAGTTTTCGAATCTTGATTATTTGGTTGTGATAGACTAGTCTTTTGTTTAGTTTTTATTGTTAAAGGTTTCTTAGTTTTCTTTAAAAATTAAGGGGTATTTTGGGAAGATGATTAAAAGTTGACTTTTTATTTTTTTGACTGTTTTATGTGAGAGAGAAAATGGGTTAAAAACTGAGAAGTAGTTTTTAACCCGCAAGTGGCGACTTTTGAAAGTGAGTTGGTACAATATTGGGTCACTACAAGAATTTACACATTTTGCGACCACTTTTGCCGACCAAAAAAATTTTGGTCGCAAAAAAATGACATTTGGTGACCAAATATTAATTAGTCGCGATTGATCTTTATTTTTGGCGACCAAATATTAATTAGTCGCGATTGATCTTTATTTTTGGCGACCAAATATTATTGGTCGCTGAAGGTTATATTTTGGCGACCAAAAAATGAGTTGGTCGTAGAAAGTGGTATGCTTTTGCCGACCAACTACAAATTTGGTCGCGGAAGGTCACATATTTTTTGGCGACCAAAAATTTGGTCGGCAAAAAGTTATTTTCAGCAACCAAAAAAAATTTGTCGCCAAATTAGTACTTTTAGCGACTAATATTTTAGTCGCCGTTGATTGAGATTTGGCGACGAAAAAAATTTGTCGGCGAATGTACCTTTTCTGCGACTAATGTGGTCTTTTGGTCGGCAAAAGTTTGGGAGGGAAATTTGATTTTTATAGAGGCGGGAATTGAATTTTTTTTGCGACAAAAAAATTTGGTCGCCATTTTTAAAACGACGTCGTTTTGTACCACGCATTCACCTTCCCATGCTCTCTCTCTCTCATTTCCTTCTGCTTGCATCGCTCTCCTACTACTGATTACCCCAACCCACTCCCTCCACCAGCTCCAGCTATGAAAAAGCATATACATACACTTTCAAAAACCCATATCATAAATTTCTAGGGTTTGAATTTTCAAATGCAAATCCATTCTTCTTCTTCTTCTTCTTCTTCATAGATCAGAGAGAGAGAGCGAGAGTGTGTGATAAATTGAAATTGATAATGCCAAGGCAGAATCGGGTTGTGGAGGGTTTGATTCCCGGATCCTGCAATATCCGAAAGAGGGGTTGCTCTTCGTCTTCGTCTTCGTCCTCTGTGTTGCAGAATTACCGATTCAAGCGGGCCATTTTGGTGGGTAAGCCTCGGGGATCCAGATCGAGCACTCGGGTTCCGTCTTGGAGGACGGCGGCGGCGAGCAGTGGTGGGAGGTCGAGGCCGATGTCTGCGAGGAAGCTGGCGGCGACGCTGTGGGAGATGAATGACGTTCCGTCGCCTAGGGTTGGGGACAATTTGGAAGAGAAGAAAGCGATCAAGAGAGAGATGAGAGTTAGAGAGAGAATGGGGGTGCCGAGATCGGTGCATTCGGGTTCTCTACCTCCGCATTTGTCTGATCGATCTCACAGTCCTGTTTCAGAGGTGGGTTTCTTTTTCTTTTTTTGATAAATTTCTTTGATTGCTGTTTGGTGCTGAGAAAACAATTGAATAAAAAGGAGATTTTTAAATTGTTTGTTTTTGTTTGAACCAATTGAGGCAGAGCAGAGCAGAGCAGTAGCAATTGGAAGTGTTTGACTAGATTTTGGATCTATTTGGTTGGCTTGATGTCATTTTCAAAAAATGAAAATTTTGAAACCCTTTCAATTGATCAATCAAAATCAAAGCAAAATTTTATTCAAAAAAAGAAAAAGAAAAAGAAAATATGTTTTCTAATAATTGTCAATTGCCAATGGAAGTAGATTTTTGAAACTTCAGAAAATTACTAGAATTATGTTTCAAGTTTCAAAAAAATGCTTATTTCAGGGGAATTTAACAACCCCCCCCTCCAAAAAAAAAAAAATCTATAGCATCTATACACACCCTTAATTTTTTCAATGGTTGAGTGGCCTTCCCTATTGAATCTGTAATAATAATTTGTAAAAACTCTGCAGCAGGCACTTTTTAAGTGTATTGCAGTTCTATTTGCGCTACATTCTATATTGATTTAGGTGCAACTAGTGAACTAGTACTGGTGAATATCACATAGCAATTGGCATACTACAAATATGAGATCATGATACTTTATCTTCCTACGTTGAGACATCTACTGAAGCAAGTACTTCTTCTGCTAAGTCCCTGTAACTTGTCAAGTCAAATATTTATTAATACCTGATTGAGGATGTGTTCATTTCTGTTGGAGCTAGCAATATTCATAGAAACTGCCATGTTTTTGAGTTTTCAAACCATGCCAATGTTGTTCTGTTA